AGAAGAAGAAGAAGAAGAAGAAGAAGAAGAAGAAGAAGAAGAAGAAGCTAAAGCATAGCTGAGATTCCTGATTTAGAAAAGGTTGCAAGAAACTCCCATTTTATTTATGTTGTGCATTTAAGTATTTATTTATTTTAGGATTTTTTTTAAAAAAAATCCTGCCTTTATTTTTATAAACAAATCAGGGCTGGGAATATACCTAATACTCCATCCCCATAACAATAACCCTATGAGGTGCATTGAGCCGAGAGAGAATGGGATTGGCCCAAAGTCACCCAGCTGGCTTTCTTGCCTAAGGCAGGATTAGAACTCGCCATCTCCTGGTGATTAGTCCAAAGTCACCCAGTTGGCTTTCAATACCTAGGGCAAGACTAGAACTTACAGCCTCCTGGTTTCTAGACTGGTGCCTTCACCACTAAACCAGTATAAAATAAATGTCTATTAAATAATTGCAAACCTGTAGCAAGTGGTAGAATTCAAATCATAGAGAGTTAAGTGAGGATTCTCCAACCAGCATGCTGGAAAAATGAAGTCCAAACATTTTAAAAACTTGCCAAGGTTGAAAAACGCTGCCATAACTATTAATAGCTTTCTCTTTCCCTCGCCCATATTTTTCCCATGTTCTTATTTTTGGTCTGAGATCCTTCTTGGGCCTCACCAGATCACCGCCCTATGGATCTCACGGAGATCAACTGCAGATCAAATCCAGAACTGTTCCCTCTCTTCCACGTGCTGGAGAGGAGCATGTGTCTTCCAACAGCTGCGCCACCTTACAAATGGTTGCCTTGTAATTCTAGCAAGGTTTCTTCTGCCCCAGGGACAAACTTCCTTTATGGGAGCGGCCCAGGGACTGTGGCATGGGAGCAGCTGCAAACAATTTGCCTCGCTCTTGCTGTGTTTGCACAAAAATCACAGCCGAGGACCCTCCCGCTGAAAGGGACTTCAAATCCCTCAATGGTTCCCAGCTCGCCACAGCAGACCCAGCCCTCCTATGCAGGCCAGTTGCCAGCACAGCTGGGAAAGCTTTGGGGAGATTTATTCTAGGTTTATGTCATGTCCTCTTTTTTTTTTTGTTCCTTGTCTTTTTTTTATTTCTGTATTTGTACAAATATAGCAGCAAAAATATCCCCCTGGACTAGAAGGCCGCTAACCACAAAATGAAAGTCCTGAGCGATGCAGCATTTCACAGGGGCTCTTTTGTGGCAGGACAAATTTAGACATGGGAACAGGAGGAAATCTCCACTAGGAATCTGTGTGAACTGGACCCGTGCAAAATCCACGTTGGAAATGGATTCTTTCAGTGTCGAATTGACAAAACCTTTGCAAGCTTTGGTTAGGCTAAGGCTGGGGAACTTGAGGTTTCCGATAGAAGAGAATATTTATCACTCAGGGTTGAAGTGTGAGGTGCTCTTGGTGGTTTTATTGCAGGTGTTTCATTATCTAACTAGAGAACATCATCAGAAGTGGAGTGAGATTTGTGGGGAGGAGGAGGAGGAGGAAGAGGAAGAGGAGGAGGAGGAAGACGACTGCGGGGTCCTTGCTGCTGTCTGAACTTGGTGATTTTCTTGCAGGCGTTTCATGACCCAACTAGGTAACATCATCAGTGCTAGAAGGGAGCGGGTTTTACAAAGTGGAGGAGGAGAAGGATGGTGGGGTTCTTGGTGCTCTTGGTTATTTTCTTCCAGATGTTTCATTATACCAAACTAGGTGATACTATCAGTGCTAGAAGGGAGAGTAAATTCCACCCCCTTCTATCACTGATGATGTTACTTAATTGGGTAATGAAATGTCTGCAAGAAAACAACCAAGTACAGAGAGCACCGAGGACCCCATTCTCCTCCTCCTCGGAAACCCTACTCCCTTCTAACACTGATGAAGTTATCTAGTTTGGTAATAAAATGTCTGGAAGAAAACAACCAAGCTCAGAGAGGACCAAGGATCCCACAGAACTCGGAGTTATGTGGCAATCGGGCCCTTGTGGCTCTTTTTCCTTGCCCCTGAAGCTGTCTTAAACCGTGACTGCCAAACATTGGCTGTGAGTTTTAGGTTTTTCTTCTTCTTCTCCAATGGCAGACCGAAACAGACCGGATCTCATCCCGGAAGACCAACTGAAAAAATATTTGCAGGACATCCAATCCTTTCAAGAGGTGGAGATCTCCCAGCAGTTGGAAGATTTCAGGTTTGCAATCGACAATTCTCAAGACCCCAAAATGCCTTCGTTGCACCTTCCCACAATCAAAATCGCAAGCCGGAGGTCCCAAATACCGGCCACGTGGCACTGTGGTTAATGCCCACATGGGATTCATTTAATGATGGCAACCGGAATTGCGGGAACTGCTGTCACTAAGTGGCACATCTTAATGGCTACATCACTTAATAATGGGACATTCCAGCCTCAGTCACCGTTGTTATATAATTGGGTCAAACAGTTTAAGAACCACCGTTTGCAGAAGGATTTGGATAATCTGATCTTGGCTTGTCAGGGAATTTCTCAACTGGTGTCCAAATGAAGTCCGAGATGCTGACACAAACCTATAGTTTTATACAAATAAATATATTTAACATCTGGATTTACAGCAAACAAGATAGTCAGGCAAACGGGAGCGTTGTGAGGTAAATCACAAAGCACACTGATGAAAAAAGGCGGGGGGAAAAGGGAAACTCCCCTTTTACACCCACAATAACCAATCGCAGCGCAGATTGCATCATGCAGGAGCCAGCCCTCTCCAATCAATCAACCCCAACGGTGTGACTTGGCTCACTGTTCGATCCCATTACTCCAGCTACTAAATTTAAATATCTTAACAAGGCTTTTGATTCCAAAAACTAGGAATAAGTGGACTGAGTTCATTGCAAGGATGGGTTGTGTTGTTGATTCAAAGAGGAAAGGAGGCTTTTGAGAGGCCTACTACAACCCCTTGTTAGTGCTCCCTTAAAGAGGCTTCAGCTTCTCTTAGGGTTGCCCAGTAGAACAAAGTCCTAGGAAATGTAATAGTATAGTAATAGTATAGTAATAGTATAGTAATAGTATAGTTATAGTCTGTTAATAATATAGTGAAGTATATTTATAGTATAGTAATAGTCATAGTATAGGAAATAAGTAGTACCAGCAAAGTACAGAGAAGTTGTCACAGCTGAGCATCCTGGTGCGCAGATAATCTTCAATTTATGGCAAATTCTGAGATCAGAATTTCCATTATTAAGCAAAGCGGTGGTGAAGTGAGTTAGGCCTCGATTTTACAACCTCTTTTTTTAACCAGGGTTATTAAGTGAATCACTACAGTTGTTAAGTGAATCGTGCGAGTCGTTATGGGAATCCAGCTTCCCCCATTGACTTGGCTTGTCGGAAGGAAAATCGCAAATGACGATCGCAAATGAAAATCCTTCTAGGAAAATCGCAAATGACGATCACGGGACTCTGGGAAACTGCTGGTTGCCAAGAGCCCAAATTCTTCTTCAGCTCTGACAGGATAGCAGGGGGATTGGAAGGATTTATACTCCTTGCAGACAGCTGGACATTTGCCTTCTTTTAGCGAGTGGTTAAAGTCATCTAAGGGATGTGGTGGCTTAGTGCAGGGGTCCCCAACCACCGGTCCACGGACCGGTACCGGTCCGCGGAACAACCCCTACCGGTCCGCGGCTTGCTGGGCGCCGCCATCTTTTTTTGATGAAAACGTGCTTCCAGTGAGGTCACCGGAAGCACTTTTTCATCAAAAAAAGATGGCGGCGCCCAGCTGATGCCGGTACCGGGCCGTGGTGCCCAGCTGATGCCGGTATCGGGCTGCGGCGTCAAAAAGGTTGGGGATCACTGGCTTAGTGGATAAGACGCTGAGCTTGTCGATCAGAAAGGTCGGCAGTTTGGTGTTCGGATCCCTAGCGCCGCGTAATGAAGTGACCTCCCGTTACTTGTCCCAGCTTCTGCCAACCTAGCAGTTTGAAAGCAAGCAGAAAAATAGGGACCACTTTGGTGGGAAGGTAACAGCATTCCTTTCGGCGTTTAGTCATGCTGGCCACATGACTTCGGACAGCGCTGGCTCTTTGGCTTTGTAACGGAGATGAGCACCATCCCCTACAGCAGGAAACAACCGGCACAGATGTGCGTGGGAAACCTTTATAAGGTCACCTGGAGATTTATCAGGGTCATCAGGGTCACCTGAGTGGTGCAAATGGGTGCGGAGCCTTCTTGGAACTGTTGAAAGGGCTGTGTTGTAGATTGGAGATGGATGATAGATACCCCTCCCTCTCTGTTGAAAGAGGGCTGTTCAATTTGGACACCTTTGGCCTCTTTGACCCCTCTTTCAAACCAGCGGTCCTCTCTGTCCAAAATGTGGGCTTTGCTGTCTTCAGAAGAGCAGCCTTTGTCTTTCAAAGGCCGCTGAATCTTGTCCTGAGGTCTTTGTTCTCCTATGTTGCGCCATGTATGGAAAAGCACCTTTGGGGTCTCTTCCATTTGCACATCAGCCAAAACCATACAGCCTGGCTCAGTACATTATACAAAATGGTAAAGGTATAACCATGATGGCTCAGAGGTTAAAGGCACTGAGCTTGTCAGGTTCAAGACCCAAGCACCCTATGAAGGGGTGAGCTCCAGGGGTGGGATTCACATTTTTTAACAACTGGTTCTGTGGTTGTGACTTGGTGAGCGTGGTCATGTGACATGACCAAACCGGTAGAATACCAGCCCCGGTGAGCTTCCGTTACTCACCTCAGCTCCTGCCTACCTAGCAGTTAGAAAGCATGCCAATGTGAGTAGGTCAATAGGTACCACTTCAGTGGGAAGATAATTTATTTATTTATTTATTTGATTTGCCAATTGTTTACAAGATAATAAGTATAAGTGTATACATAGTTGTGAATACATGAAATGGGTACATATAAGAAAAATAAAAGAAGAATAAGAGAAACAATAGGACAGGGACGGTAGGCACGTTGGTGCGCTTATGCACGCCCCCTACAGGCCTCTTAGGAAAGGGGTGAGGTCAATAGTAGACAGTCTAAGGTTAAAGTTTTTGGGGTTTGGGGAAGAAACTACAGAGTCGGGTAGAGTATTCCAGACATTGACCACTCTATTGCTGAAGTCGTATTTCCTGCAATCAAGTTTGGTGCGGTTTACTTTGAGTTTGTATCTATTGTGTGCTCTTGTGTTGTTAATATAATATAATATAATATAATAGTGCTCCGTGTAGCCTCACCCTCTAGCCATGCTGGCTACGTGACCCCAGAAGTGTCTTCGGACAATGCTGGCTCCTTCGACTAAGAAATGGTGATGAGCACCACTCTCAGTGTTGGCACGGCTTTAATTTGGCGTTCGTTATACAAACTCAGCATGTTGTGTGAACAATCATTGATGGCTTCAGGCGGGAACGGGCAACTACGGTGGGAAAAGCATTTGCACAGCTTGATAGGGTTGGTAATTTTTTTTACCCTTAATTAGGTTTCTCTGTAGCTTAGCGTGTTGTGCTCAGGGCTTCGCTGATGACTCCAGGCCTTGTGCCAGTTCTGGAATTGGATTTAATTCAGTCGAATTAATCTATTAATTCCATCCAACGTACAGAGCTCGATCGCCTGTTCTTTGCCTCCGCAGGGAAAAACGGAAAATGGGAATGACCCCAGGAGAGAAGGAGCTTTTCGAACTGGAAGGCTATCGGACCAAGGACAAAGGCATCAGGGAGGCCAAAGAGAAACAGCTGGCCGAACAGCTGATGGTCAAACTGGAGGAGATGCAGTGAGTGAAGCTCTCCTGGCTTAACTGCTATGCATGGAGTGTTAGTTTGCCCTTTCAGCTTCCTCCTTCGCCGTAGCAAAGATGGCATTCCTTCTTTGATGGTGTGCTGGCTACGGTCAAGGCCTTGTACCACTCCTCTTGCACCCCTGAGCCCCTTCTGCAACCCTGAATGTCTTCCAGGCACCATCTTGACTCCTAGATTGCCACTATGCTTGGGAAGATGGCCTTTCACATCCATCAGAACTGTTCTGACCCAAGCCTTGTTCAAACTAAACAAACACAAACTGCGTGTAAAAGCAAACCTTTTTTAATGTGGCGCTGGGAATTCTGTGCATTCCCAGCCAAGAGTCATTTAAACCTAATTGTCTGAGACAAAAGCAAGCCCTTTCAAGGTTGTAAAAGGCTGCCAAGAAACGGAAGTCTAATTACTGATAAATATCCACCGACGGAAGTTCCAAAAAACAAACCAGAGTTAGCAGGGCTTCAACGAGGACTCAGAGTTTAAAGAACTTCTTTGCTTCCTGCAAATAGCACATCCCCGAGGGCTGGTTTTTATCCCTTATAGGTGGGGCCATCACCTCCCAGCCTTACTCCCGAGTCGCCCTTGCTGCTTCAGCTGCTCTCTCCTTCAAGCAGCCCTGCACACACGCACACTGGGCACAGGCTCCCCTGGATCCTCTGCTTTGATGCTGCCAGACTCCAAAAGCACCGAAGGCAGCACCCCACTTTCTGATAGTCCTGGCCCCATCCCTGCATCAGATGCAGGCCCCTCGTCCGAGTCCTCGCCAAACTCCCTGACTGGTTCCCTTTCGTCCTTGCTCTCAGAGACCTCTGCCGTCTGCACCGGCTGCCGGCGAACCACAACAAGAGCAGGCTGGGCAAGAGTCCTAAATGGGACCGCACCTCCATACCTTGCTGCAGGTGTCACCCTCCCATTTGGGGGACCCACATGGAGGATTATGTCTCTTCTGTTGAGGGGGCTGGCTGCAGCCGGGGTGGGGCAGAAAACACCCATCATCCTCAACAACCAAGGAGAGAAGCAACCTAGAACTCAGGAGAAATTTCCTGACAATTAATCGGTGCCTCCAGAAGTTGCGGAGGTTCTTAAGGAGGAACTGGGCAGCTGTTTGTCTGAAATTGGATCAGGTTTCCTGCCTGAGCAGGGGGGGTTGGACTAGAAGACCTCCAAGGTCCCTTCCAACTCTTGTTAGTTTGCAACCATTTGGCTTTGAGTTGCTGCCCCTGCCAGTCTGCCTTTACAGTGGACTACCCTCTACTCCAGCTGCAGATCCCATCCTAGCTTTCTATTTCAAGCAAGCTGGTTGGGATCTCCTTGTTTCCTCCCCCCCTTTCCCCCCCCCCCCCCCTCCAGGGATGGAGCCTCTGTTTCTGGCCACCACCCCATCAGGGCTGGGACAAGAGCGAGGAGCCAGCCAGATCATCCGTAGCAAATCCCTGCCAGATAATAGGATCCAGTTGGCAGGAGGGGAGGAGAAGGGAGGGGGGGGAATGTTCCCCACCCATCCCAGGATGTTGCCTCTGGTTGCATCATCCTTGCCGAGTGTATAAACACCCCTGGAAGCCCCTTCCCCCTCCAGTTGCTGTATGCCAGTCCGTCCAGCCGTCGCAGAAATTGCGCTTAGACAGAACATGTTTATTTGCCTTTTGAATACTTTCCTGCTTCTACCGAGCAAAAATGGGGCTGTATTACCGGTAAGTTTTTTCCCAGAAACGAAAAAGTGGGGGGTAGCATGCGGCATAAGGCAGGGGTGGCTTTGAGAGTCTGCTGTCCCCAAACGAAGAAAAGGAGCATTGTTGTTGTGTGAAGGGTCAGGCATACTGTTATCTTTCAGAGGCTTTGGACCACAACTCCCATCAGCCCCAACCAGCAACAAGGGATCATGGGGGTGGGTTCCCAAACAACTGGCAGTTGTTGGTTTGCTTTCCCTTTGCTTTGGAAAAAAAAAAAAAGCAGATTGAATAGTTAAAGGCAGAGGAGAGAGGGTTGAAATCCCCTCCTCCTCCTCCTCACAGAGCTGCAGGCCAGCTGTTAACCTCTGGACGAACAGCTGGATCAGAAGGCTGCAAAGGTAGCCGGAACAAGTGTCCTTCGCTCCCTGATTATATATATATATATATATTTCTTTTCTTTTCTCTTTTCTCTCTGCATTGGTTCCAGCCTCACCATTTCTGCCGACGAGGAAAAAAGGTAGGCCCCCAACAGGTGCAGAGTGGTTCGTTCGTGTGTGTGCTTTGTGTTTGTGTGTGTGTGTGTTGTGTGCGTTTCTGGAAAGGGGGGCGGGGGGGGGCGGAAACACACTCTTGCACTCTCCTGCATGCAACCGGATGTGGCTTTGCAGCACATTGAGTTTTGTGGCTCAGGAAGCTGGAGGAGGGGGAGATGAAAAGAGTCATTTAACCCTTCCAAGTTTTGGTCTGAGAAAGTCCCGGCTGTTTAAAAGCATCAAAATCCACTTTCACCAGCGTCCCCACCATTTGCTCACAGTAAGAGTGGTCCTCAACTTACGACCACAATTGAAACACACACACACACACCCCTCAGAATTTCTGTTGCTAAGCCGGACAGTTGTGAAGTGAATTTTTTTGCCCTGTTTAACGACCTTTCTTGCCGCGGTTGTTCAATTTAATAACACTTTTCGCTAAGTGCATCTGGCTTCCCCAATGACTTCACTTATCAGAAGGTCTCAAAAGGGGAATCCCATGACCCCCAGGGACAGTGCAACCCATCATAAGTACGAGTCGGTTGCCAAGCATCTGAATTTTGAACATGGGAATCCTGCAACCGTCGTAAGTGGGAAGAACGTGCTAAGTCACTTTTCTCAGTGCTGTCGTGACTTTGAACAGTCACTAAATGAACTGTCGTAAGTCGAGGACTACCTCTAGTCAGGGAGTGTCTCTCTGGATGCATGACCTCACTTGTTGGCCCCCGTTGGTGACCCCGGATCACACTTCCCAAAATCCACAGGGGACCCGGGGGCGAGAACTGTGGAACGTAACAGATTTGTGAATTGGAAAGTATCTTAAGTTCTTTTCTTTTTTTGGCCAAATCTTGCTTATATTTTCCACACGCATATGCATATTTAGCACAAAAAAAAAAGTGAAATTTGGCAGGTTTCTTAGTAACTCTGAGGGATGGAAAAAGGAAGTAACGCGAGGGAGGTTCACAACGAGGTTTGTTTACTCCTGTTGTATATGTGTCGAGTCCCTGTTCAATTAAGTTTTAGTTTAGTTTACTTTATTGTCCTTGTACCTCGTACCATGAAATTAAATACCATCTTCAGTGTACATTATGACTATAGAAATAAACACAAATACCCATCCTTCACATTCTATACTCTGAATTGAAAACCCTTGATATTGCATTAATATTGCACTATACAGTAGAATTCAGTGTAATTACTGCTCTGGGATAGAAGCTATTTTTCAGCCTATTTGTCCTTGTTTTTAATTGAATTGAATTGAATTGAATTCTTTATTGTCATTGTACATATATACACAGTATACATACAACGAAATTCACATAATACCCAGAGACCAGACTCAACATGCACACACACATGACAATCCCCAAACACCGCCCCACCTGCCAAAATTCCCCGACCCCTAAAAACACACCAGCATCCACACAACAGACCAAGTAATACTGTCCAACAGCTCACTGATGGTGGTCCTTAAGTTCATTGTTCAGTGCAATTATAGCTCTGGGATAAAAACTATTCAGAAAATGTGTGGTCTGAGTTTTATTATTTTATTATTCTCCTGTACCGTCTGCCAGATGGTAATAGTTCAAAAAAAAAAAGGTGCCCAGGATGAGATGGATCTTTGAGAATGTTTTGAACTTTCTTAAGGCAGCGGGAGCTATAAAGCTCTTCCAAAGAGGGGAGAGGGCAGCCAATGATCAAAGTGACTTTGTTTTTGAATTGGGTTGAGTCTTTTTGACCAGATGCAGGCTTGAATCTTCAGATAGCCTTGCAGTTTGTTTTACGTTAACCATCATCTTTTTTTTTTCTCTTCCTCTGCCCTGTCCTTTTAGCTCTGCCATATATACTGCCATTGTCACATATATGAAGCATCTGGGGGTTAAGACCAAGACAGCTGACAACAAGAAGTCGAAAGCTAACTTTTTCCGCAAAAAGGTAGGCTTAAGAGATCTTTAAAGGCGACAGGCAGCACCATGAATTGCACCCAGACCTAGTGCAGCTCCTGCAGGACAGAATAGATAGAATAGAATATAATTCTTTATTGGCCAAGTGTGATTGGACACACAAGGAATTTGTCTTTGGTGCCTATGCTCTCAGTATACATAAAAAGAAAAGATACATTTGTCAAGAATCGTCAGATACAACACTTAATGATAGTCATAGGGTACAATCAGCAATCAAATCATACTAGGAAACAGTCAATATAGATCGTAAGGATACAAGCGACAAAGTTACAGTCATACAGTCACAAGTGGGAGGGGATGGGTGATAAGGAAGGATGAGAAGATTAATAGTAATAGTAGTGCAGACCTTGTAAATAGTTGGACAGTGTTGAGGGAATTATTTGTTTAGCAGAGTGATGGCATTCGGGGAAAAACTGTCCTTGTGTCTGGTTGTTCTGGTGTGCAGGGCTCTATAGCGTTGTTTTGAGGGAGTTGAAACGGTTTATGTCCAGGATGTGAGGGGTCTGTAAATATGTTCACAGCCCTCTTTTTGACTAGTGCAGTATACAAATCCTCGACCGAAGGCAGGTTTGTAGTAATTGTTTTTTTCTGCAGTCCTAATTACTCTCTGGAGTCTCTGTCTGTCTTGTTGGGTTGCAGAGCCAAACCAGACAGTTATAGAGGTGCAGATGACAGACTCAATCATTCCTCTGTAGAACTGGATCAGCAGCTCCTTGGGCAGTTTGGGCTTTCTGAGTTGGCGCATAAAGAACATTCTTTGTTGTACTTTTTTGATGACAGGGGACACCTGTGCACACCTGGGATTTGGGGAACGGGTGGTCAGTTTCTCTTCTCTGATTTATTCCAGATTTCCAAGAAACCAGACGAAGCTCTCAAACCAAAGAAAGGCTTCAGCATTTTGGACCCAGCCCGCTGGAACCGTGGGGATTCCCATTGTAAGTACGCAAAACAAATTCCTTTGCCCTGGTTCAGTACCAAGCCCTTTATTTAACTTGCTGTCCTAAACCCCCCATTGTCAGGTTTCTTAGGACTGAGATCTGCAATTGTCCAGCCCCATGTGAATTGAGCCATTTCTTTGAAGCTCCTGAAATCTCCCCGAGATTTAACTGTTAAACTACAGGTAGTCCTTGACGTACAATTATTCATTTAGTGACCGTTCAAAGTTACAACAACACTGAGAAAAGTGACTTTAGGACTTGATTTCACACCTACAGCCATTGCAGCATCCCTAGGGCTGCAAAAGAGTCATAAAAATAAGGCGAAACTCCCTTAACGACGGACTTACTTAGCAATGAAATTTGGGGTCAATTGTGGCTGTAAGTCAAGGACTACCTGAGCTGCTGTGTTTGGTTTTAATTTTAATTTTGAAACAAATAACAGTAAAACTGAACCTCGAATAAGCTGAACAGAACTTGCACTGGGAAGGATCTTCTCTCTCAAGCTGGTAGAGTCCCACAATTCCAGAAATATTTCCATGACATACTTTTGCAAAAAAAAAAATATATATATTATTTTCCTTTATGTCGCCAGCCAGTCTATAGCTTAAACCAATGATTAAGGTATTCCTTTTCGAGGCAGAAGGAAGAAGAAAGCTAAATGACTTGTCCTTTCAGGAAAAAATAAAAGTTAGCTTGGTGTACATCTGGATTTACTTCAGTTTCACTGGGTGCCAGCCCTGGCTTGAGACTCACCCTAGGGTCAACCTCAGAGGAGTTTTCAAAAGCATCCTTTGGAAACTGGCTATTTTCTTCTTTTTTTTGAAAGCTTGTGGTTACTGTTGCTAGGCCAATAAGGAATACAAATTCCACCAGCCCACAAAACAGTGGTCCCTTTTGTGCGCATCGGATCATCTGGTTGGTGAGCGTGGCATGTGATTTGCCCAGAAGCAATTTTTGGGCAATAGTTAGGAAGGGATTAATGTGATGTCTCTTTCCCCATCTTTCTCCATTGTATTTTTTTTGCTGCATTTTTTGTAGATTCTGATTACAGACAGCCCAAACCTGAGGGTGAAGGTACTAGCACCCCACTTTCTCCTCCTCCTACCAGCTCTGTAGTAACGCATGGCACCCTGTGTACCCATCCATCCCTCTGATCAGGAAGCCACGTAGAACTAATCTGCCTCTTGTAACCTCTGCCACTAACGTTTTAATTCACTGTTGCACTCTCGCCCATCAAGTAATGTACTAATGAGAATCATACACACGCCTATGAAAGTTCATCACACCTGTTCATGTTCCCAAAGAAAATTCTTGGCATGCGATGGCTCATTGTGTGCTCCTCTGTCTGTCTGTCCCAATGGGGTCCTGCGTGAAACCAGCAAAGTGGGGAATAAACCACGTATTCTATCGTTTTTCTCTGTGGCTTATGCACAAATTAAGCACTTGCTCGGTTTTACTACCCAGGGTGCATTCACCTTATCCCTAGATAGTTAATATTCCCAGTTTAGAAGTCCAGGACTTGGCAGGAAATCTCAGGGTTACAATTTTGCACTGCTCGATTCTGGCTTAGCTGAACTGCTCTTAGTTCCTTCAGCATCTGTGTAAAACTGAACGCGACTGTTTTCCAAGCAGAATCATTTTAACAAGATTTATGTCCCAAAGGTGCTTTTTCCAAAGGCAACCTGAATAGTGCAAAAATGGAAACGGCTGAAAGGACTGTATTGTAAACAGGACACTGTACAGGTGACCCTGAGGGCACAGATAAACCTCCAAGTGGCCTCAATGACTCTCAGGAAGAGTGCTAACAACCAGAGGACTGCAAGGAATATAAATCCTTCCATTCCCGCAACATTCATCCAGAACTGAAGAAGCTTCTTGGATGAGAGGTGAAATATTTTCAAGGAAGAACAAAGTCCATTTGCCTTTTGAAAAAGCACCTATGGGACAATCATGACCTGGATGATTGAGAATCTCCATAGACATTTAGCAAGATTGATGGTTGGTGAAAGAGAGGAGGTTTACACGAATTCCAGCAAATGGAATATAGAAACAATACATCCCTGTGTGCAATAGGCTGAATCGTCCTGAAATTCTATCGGCTCTCCTAGGATCTGGTGAAGTGGTCTCTTTACTTGGGGTAGCTTGTAGCTGGCTGTTTTCATAAACATCTCCAGAACCTTTATTAATCCAGGAACTGACTATTCTGTGCCATGGAATGGTAATTGCAAACAAGAGTCAAGCCACGGCAAACATAAAGGATGGCTAATATCATTAGCCATCATTAGTCCCAGGATAATGTTGCAGGGTCCAATGTGGGTCGGTCACAAGGACCGGAGGTTTAGTCTTTTGAGAGTTTTTGGACTCACACTGGAGCTCATCTCCCGAGAACTTCTTTCACCACATTCTGTTTGAAATGAGTTTGAAAGCTTGGAAGACAAAAGCTTTGTTGCCGGTGATTGACCCAGATTGGATCCTGCCACAGCAAACAGTTGATTTCCTCCTGTTATTGGGATAAAGGTATTGAAGATGTGTGATTCTTTATTGCTGATATAATGACATCTCTGCCTTGATTGCTGCTGCTGGCTCTTGAAAATATCTCTCACAGTAGCTACTAAATTTAACCAAATAATTCCCCTCTAATCCTTCTATGAAAACCCAACCAAACGGATTTGGATACACAGAGCATGCTAAAACCTGTGGTTTAGTATGATATGTCCAAGATGTTCTTCCATCCCTCATACTTTGCCCTTGCTATATCTAAAGGAAGTCTCTTTATCAGTATTCCGTTCAGTGCTCTTATTACAGTTTACAGACCCCACCGAGCACATCAGCATAAAAAAAAACAGACTAAAGTTCAGCAAAATAAGATAAGAGCATGAACAAAGTGGAAGGAATATAAAACACTGTAAAACGAGAGGAATAATTACAGTACTCCGCAGCCCCTAACTTCCCACATTAATTTCCCCAAAGGGTTCTAGGGTTACAGATGCAGACTTAATGACAAGCTGGTTTATTTTAGGGGCCTTGTCTGCCAGCCAGAAAAAAGCTGAGTAAACTCTTAATCAGCTGCCGTCAACTCTCTCTAGTAGGAGTTTACATCTCTTCTGAGCTTGCACCTAGTACCTTGGCCCCTGTCCTGGCTTAGAAAAAGTAGATTACCTGACCATCCGTTTTTTACCCACCTGAGCATTATGGCCCCAGGAGATGCTCGGTTACCCTTGAGCAAGTTATGGTTCACTTTCTCCAGTGTAATGCAGTTCATGGATAACCTTGAGGCAAGGAGAGAGGAGATGCTGTCTAGGAAGCCATCAGATAAGAGAGGCAGGAGCCCACCATTGTTTAATGGTCAAGGAAAGTCACTCAGGAAGGACCTGCCCTAATGGGTCTAGGAATTAAAAATGGCAGGTGAGTAATTTATGCTTTCTGACTTGCACAACTGAAGTCAGCCAGGTAACCTGGACAGGAAACAAAAGAAAATGAGCTACGTTTACTTTATTAAGGCTACATTAATGGAATCTTGCAAGTCTAAAAAATGCAAATCTCCCGCTCTCCCTTTTTACAGCTTTAGTTAGGGAGGAACCTTTTTGTGTTTCTTTTCTCTGCCTGTTATGCAGCTGTGGGCTGTGCCCTCTCTTAACCAAAATAACAGAGTTGGAAGGGACCTTGGAGGTCTTCTAGTCCAACCCCCTGCTCAGGCAAGAAACCCTGTACCATTTCAGACAAATGACTGTGCAATCTCTTCTTCAGTGTTGGAACATTTACAACTTTTGGAGGCAAGTTGTTCCACTGGTTAATTGTTCTCACTGTCAGGAAATCTCTCCTTGGTTCTAAGTTGCTTCTCTCCTTGATTAGTTTCCATCCATTGCTTCTTGTCCTGCCTTCAGGTGCTTTGGAGATTAGCTTGACTCCCTCTTCTTTGGGGCAGCCCCTGAGATATTGGAAGACTGCTGTCATGTCTCCCCTGGTCCTTCTTTTCATTAGACTACTAGACATCCCCAGTTCCTGCAACCGTTCCTCATATGTTTTAGCCTCTAGCCCCTTAATCATCTTTGTTGCTCTTCTCTGCACTCTTTCTAGAGTCTCAGCATCTTTTTTATATCATGGCAATCAAAACTGGATTCAATATTCCAAATGTAACAGATAACTAGAGTTGGAAGGGACCTTGTAGGTCATCTAGTCCAACCCCCTGCCCAAGCAGGAGACCCTACATCATTTCTGACAAATGGCAATCCAATCTCTCCTTGAAAGGCTCAAGCGATGAAGCTCCCATAACTTCTGAAGGAACTTCTGTTCCATGGGTTGATTGTTCTCACTGTCAGAAAGTTTCTCCTTGTTTCCAGGTTGAATCTCACCTTGTTCAGTTTCCATCCTTTATTCCTTGTCTGGCCTTCAGGTGCTTTAGAAAATAGCTTGACCCCCTTCCTCCTCCCTGTGGCAGCCCCTCAAATATATAGTTTTACCAAGGCTTTATAAAGTGGTACTAACAAGGTGTTAGTTACCTGGGCAGCATCTCCCCTTCGCTGAAAGTTATGCATGCATTCCATTACACCACGCAGGGAGAGAGGGAGCTTCCTCGCCTCTTGTTTTTGAAACTGCTCTCGGTCAAGAGTGTCCTAATCTGTGCATAAGTCCATTGTGAAGGGTGAGGTGGGAAGAGGAATTTGGCGGAGGGGAACGGCTCCTTGGTAGTGTTTGATTTCTCTGTCATTTTCTCCTTGAAGCAGCTGAGAAGACACCAGCCTTGGACAAAAAAGCCAAGTTAACAGAAGGAACGTCTGGGCGTAGCAAAGGGATCCCTTCGATGCAGGATCCCTCTGGTGTGTCCGTCACTGTGCATCCCCCACCTGGAGAGAGCAATGATGCAGAGCAGGGTGAGATAGCGGATGAACTGGAGGAAGGAAGTGGGGTGGAACGTGGTCTGGATTCCCAGAAGGGAGGGGCTGCTTTCCTGAGGACCAAGAGGAAGCAAAATTTAGATCAAGGGTGCCCAACCATGGCAACTTTTTAAGACCTCTGGACTTCAACTCCCAGAATTCCCCAGCCAGCCATGGTATAGGGTTTCCTGCTTGAACCAGGGATTGGACTAAGAAAGCTTCTAAGATCCCTACCATGCTGGCTGGGGAATTCTGGGAATTGAAGTGCAGAGCCTCAAGGTTGGACACCCCTGGTTGTAGATGAGATTGGTTGGGAAGAAGAGACGGGTCAAGACGGGTCCTCCCTAAGAAGTTCTTAAGAGAGTCTCTTCAATATGTTGCAAGTAATTTGCTTTAGTTGGGTAAAATTTCTGTCTAGAGACGAAAGGAAACTGATCGGAAGAGCCTCGGTGTGTCTTTCTTGGTTTTTGGAGCCAGATATTAATCTTGCCAAACTAATAAGACAGCCATCTCCATCGTTAAAGATACGTTCTGAGCACTTCTGGGCAGGAGCTTTCTTGACTGTCTTCCTGTCAACTGAACTATCTAAACTTCACTGTCTCTTGGTCCTCTGGAATGTAGCTCCTCCCTCCTGGGAATCCAGACTGCATTCCGCTACAGGAAGACACCTTTCGGATAATGAAAGGAGCAGCTTGGCAGCATTTCTTCTTCCCTCTTCCTTCACCCCCTTCTTCTATTTTCCTTAGGGTTGGACAGTCCAGCTCTAGCTGATTCGGGAGATTCACCAGTTGCTGAACAAGCCCTGGCTGGAGAGCAGCTCTCGCTGGATGAAAGCGCCGAAAATGAAAGGTGAGAGCAGGCTGATGGCCTTGCAAAGGGTGAGTTGGGATCCTTGCGAACGCATGCAGGTGGACAGGGCTTGTCTGGCAAATCTGGCCGCTTTTCTTTAGACAGGAGCGTGCCCCACAAACTTTGAGAGTCATATCTGGACAAACCTAGATTGTAAGGCTGGCCAGGGATCTAAAGACTATGTCAGTGTGCCCTTGGAGAGTAACAGCCATTCAGTCTAGTGATAAAGGCACCAGGCTAGAGACCAGGATACTGTGAATTCTAGTCCTGTCTTAGCCATGAAAGCCAGCTTTGGGTCAATCACCAGGAGATTGTGAGTTCTAGTCCCACCAGGAGATTGTGAGTTCTAGTCCCATGAAAGTGAGCTGGGTGATTTTGGGCCAATCACCAGGAGACAGGGAGTTCTAATCCTTAAAACCAGCTGGGGGATTAAAGGCCAGTCCCTCTCTCTCAGCCCAAAATACCTCACAGGGTTGTTGTTGTTGTGGGGACAATAGAAGGAGGAAGGAGTATCAGATGTGTTTTCCACTTTCTGTTGTTTATAAAAATAATAATAAAGGCAGGATATATTTAAATAGATAAAATAAAATAAAATAAACACACAATTCCTGTTGTCACTTTGGCTACCTCCCTAATTATGTGGAGCCTGGTTTTCCCACTTCCTTTGATCCTGGTTCCTTGGTGTTCGACTCACATTGAAACAGCATTTAATCTCTTCCTGAGGCTTAATATATTGAGGTTTGCCCGCTCACCCCTTTGCCCAGTCCTCCTTTTCCTCTTTTCTCTCATTTCGGTATTAACACGGTCACCCTTCTATATTCTGTTCTTCCCTTCTAGAAGGCGAAAAAGGTTGGTGGCTTCCTCACCCCCCTACTCACCCTTTGCATGAATTTCTTCCTCAGGGGAAGACACACAAGCTGAGTTAAGTATGACCTCTTGTTCACCATGTCTGCCTTCCCAAATCGATGGCTGGAGAAAACACATCCTTTAAACTCCAGGTCCCATCTGGCCTGGGCACAGTTCCTTCTTGTGGCAGACCGTATTTTGAGCATGGACAAGGGGTGGGAGGTGGCCATGGGGGTGTTGTCAAACCCCCATGCCCCCCCTAAGAACCAAAACATTTTGGGGGGGTTATAGCTATGGTTGGGACCAACTGCGCATTGGATCCAGCTTGCCAGGAGTGTGTGTGTCTGCCTCGCAGTTCCACCCTCCCTTCTTCTGGTGCATGGATATCTCAGTTTGTTCTTGGGGGTCTCACATTTCTCTCTCTTGGTTTCTCTTTCCACCGCTGCATGTGCCAAATGTGTCTTCCTCTTCCCTTCCTGTATATTGCGTGTTCTCCGGTTGTGATCCCTGCCACCTTCTTGGCATCAAATGTCTTGTGTCTCCTTTCCTTTTCCATGTGTCGCTCACGATGCGTCTGTGTCTCTTGTGGCTCATTTCATCTCCCCTCGTGTCCCCGTCGGCGTGTCAAATCCAACATCCCTTGGTCTCTCGCATTGTGGTGGTTTTTTTGTTTTTTGTTTGGTTATTATTATTTTTTTGTCTGTGGCCCGGCTGTGCCTATCCCCACCCTTGCCAGGCTGCCAGGGAAGTTGGGCCGCTCGGAGAGCCTGCGGGTTTACGAGCGGAAGCGGTCTCAGCGAGGCTCAGCCAAAGGCAAACAGCCACGTTCGCGGAGCGATGTGGACATCGAAGCCGCGGCCCGGGCCAACGAGCTGGAAGAAAAACCAACTCTAGAACAGGCTCGGAAGAAGCAGGGAAGTCGCAAGTAGGTGAAGAGGCCGCCATCTCAGCTGCCCCAACACGGGCAGAGACGGGAGCGTTGTGCAAGAATTACAGAGATGGAAGGGACCTTTGAGGTCTTCTGGTTGTCACAAATCATATTCTCCCAACGAAACACATTCGCGGGCTGGGTGTCATCAATCACACTTTCCAATGAAGGGTTTTGGGGTAGAAGATCCGGTAGCCTAGGCTACAATCTCCGCAAGATAAGCGTGGAATGTGCTTCTGGCCTTCATCTGCGACACTGCTCCCTCAGGCCTTTCCTCCTCCCCTCCTTCTTATGGCAACTCAGAAACAGGCATAGGAATGATTTACGAGTTGATACTGGTCCAACCCCCTGCTCAAGCAGGACACCCTATACCAAAAGGATCATCAATCTTGGAAGATCCTCCCCCCTCCCTTCCCTGGAGTAGCATAAACAATGGATGCATTCCCAGGAAGGATTATCTCCAAAAGATGGGAGCATCTTTGTCTGCAAAAGGAATTAAATAATTGTTCCATTATCCTTGATGCTAAAAGAATTGGCAGAGAGATGGATGGCAAACAAATTTAATAAATAGATAGATAGATAGATAGATAGATAGATAGATAGATAGATAGATAGATAGATAGATAGATAAAAAGATGACGCTCTCTCAAATTTCTTCCTTGGAAGAAAGGGTGTCCAATTTTGGCAACTTTAAGACTTGTGGGCTTCAACTCCCAGAATTCCCCAGCCAGCCATGCTGGCTGGGGAATTCTGGGAGTTGAAGTCCAGAAAGTTGCTAAGGTTGGACACCCCCACTCTAAAACATGATATTAGGAAAGATGCAGCCTTTAAAAGAACCACTCTGGCCATCAGTGTCTTCTGCCCTGGAGGAATAAAATAGTCCAGTACAGCTTTTGAATCAACCACGCTACTCCTTCAAGTGAACAGCAACTTGTTTATGTGTAAATATAATTTTCAGTAGATGTTAAAAGTATAGCCTCTGAGATTTAAATAAATTTCAGCTAATACTTTTCCTTCTGGCAGCTACGACTGGAGGAAAGGCTTCTGTTGAATTGGGAGCTGTTCATTGACAAATTGGTAGAAATCTGTCCTAAACTATTAAAAAACCAAAAACCAAACAGCATCTCACAAATTACCTTGAATTGGCCCCATTCTAAAATCCTAGGGAGAAAATTCTGTGATGAGTTGAAGATAATTATGGTAGATGTGAATAGCATTTTCTTAAAATTATCTGCCAAGAGCATATGCTATAGCAAATGCTTTTGGCCCTTGGAACTGATCTGTGTTGCAAACCTGGAATTGGATTGCGCTGGTTTAGTGGGAAGGAAACCAGGATAATGCTTATTTGGTGAGGGTCCAAGAGCTGTTAGTGCAAAGGGACACAATCCTTTTCATTGAGCCCAATCTCCTGACAACTCGATGAACACATCTGTACAGGTAATCCTTGACTTATGGCCACAATTAGGACCTGATTTACCAACATACGCCATTGTGATTATAAGTCGAGCTGGTTGAGTAAGTCCAATTTTACCATAATTTTGATGGCAGTCGTTAGCCAAATCACATGGAAGTTAAATGAACCCAGCTTCCCCAATGGGGTCCTTGGCCAGAAATCAGCAAGAATTGCCTCAGATTGCAACCCTTTGAATCATAGGATGTCGTAACTGGTCAAAAATGTGAGCCAAGCTCCCATGTTGCAATCATGCATGAGTGGTGCAACAGTGTGAGTACAGCTGTAAGTCATTTTTTCTGAGGCTGCTGCAACTGAACCATCATTAAACAATGGACACAAGTGGAGACCTGCCTGTATTGTTTTTCTTGGCCAGAATTTGGAGGTGGTTTGACATTGTCCTTTCCCTGGGATTCTTCTATCCCAGCCCAGTTTGTACAATCTTGGGGTTTCCTAGGGGTCTCCCATCCAGTTAAAACTCTGCTCCCCTTTTTCCAGACCAACCATAGTTGAGTAGACGTTGCTACCGCAGTGGGACCTACAACAATCATGATCAGCAGAATCAGTCAAGTTGGGGTGGTCTGTAAATGTTGAAGGATGGCTGGACAGATGGATAAGTAAACACAAGACTGCCCTCACGGTATCTTTTGTCTGTTGCTTTGACTCTTACAGTTTGGAGCCCGGAGGGGCCGGGGGAGGGGAGCCCCCACCGTCCTTTCTGCTTCCCCAGTCTGAGGAGTTTGAGCCGCGTGTTTCGGAACTGGAACTGGACCCGCCAAACTGGCGGGAGCTTGTCCCCCCCGACACCCTCCTCAGGCTGAAGAAAAGTGAAGTAAAGCGGCAAGAAGTGATCAACGGTACGTGAGGGGATTTCCCCTGTCGGCCCTACCAGGTAGACCAGGCTCAGGAACGCATGGAAGTCAGGCTGAGTTTTATTGTAGCATCTAGAACATCTGTTGTAGCACCTAGAACTCAGGGTTTTTAAATCTCGTCAAATGCCTATAGATATTCTCAATCAATCCGGTCACAGTTGTCCCAAAGATGCTTCCCCCTGCCCCCCCAAAAAAAGCAAGTTAACTTTTCTTTGGTTTTTATTTTCTTTGAAAACATTTCGCTTCGCATCTTAAGAAGCTTCTTCGATTCTAACTGAAGAGCCGAAGAAGCTTCTTGCCTGAGAAGCGAAATATTTTCAAAGAAAACAAAATCCAGTTGTCTTTTGGGGGAAAAAAGACATTGGGTTAACCTCAGGAACTTTAAGCTGTGTGGCTCAGAATTGCCCAGCTACAATGCTTGTTACTGTTATAACCATAACAAAATGTACAAGGGATTCTATTTAGGTAAAAAACATTTTGCAAACCAACCAGGCAAAGTGACAGGAAATGGGGATAAATGAATAAAACACAAAACGAGAAAGCAAGGACTTTGCAAACCTCATGGAAGATTTAGATTTCCAGCCCATTTTTGTTTTTTGCAGTTGCGCATATTTTTAAAATCTTATTAAAGCTTATCATGAGATCAAATACAAATAGAAAGAAAAGTCAAGGAAATTAAAAAGGAAGAATGCAAAAGTTAAGGTAAAAGAAAGGTAGTGACTTTTGCCTTTTTCAGTGCAGCAGAGTAGGAGAAAAATTACAACCTCAATCTTTTGCTTTACATTTCTAATTATTTCAGACCACTTTTGTAACACCAGAGTCAATGTAATCATTGGAACCTAAAATCAAAGTTTCATTTTTGTCTATTTTGAGGATAAAGCCTAAAAGCTGTTTCCCAGTAGAAACAAAGCTAGATAAGTTCCTCTCTTTAATTAACACTTAAATTAAGATTTAAATTTAATTTGGCCATCTCTGCCAACTCCACCACCTCAATTATCCATTCTTCCACGGCGGGGATTGATGCATCTTTCTACCTCTGTGCATACATTCTCATTGCGGTCACAAATGGCCTAGATTTCCTATGGGTTGATCTTCCTTCGCCTTTTCTCCTACAGAGCTGTTTATCACAGAGCACGCCCATCTGCGGATGCTCCGGGTGTTGCTTGAGGTTTTCTACCAACCATTGTTGACCGAGGGATTCTTCACCGAGAGCGAACTGGTGAACATTTTCCCCAGTCTGGAGGACTTGATCGACGAACACAGTGAGAGCACGGCGGCAAACGGGGCGGGGTGAAAGCAGAGTAACTTCCACGCTAGATTTATTTAGCAGGAATAATGGGAATTGCTGTGGTGGGTTGGGTCATTGTCGTGGCATTTTTCCTTCTCTTGAGTCATGCTTTGTCTGTCTCCTCTTTTCCCAGAAGTGTTTCTGGAAAACATGAAGAGGCTGAGGGAGGAGAATAATTTGATTGTCTCCGAAATTGGAAGCACTCTGCTGGCTAGAGTAAGAGCAAGAGTTTAATCTGGGCTTTTTAGCATGTTGGGTGGAAAGCAGCCGGAAGGGGCAAAACTGGTAAGGCAGGTGTCAAGTTTCCAAGTGATGAAATCCATTTTAAAAAGAAAAGCACAAAGTCCATCTTCCAAGGTAATTTCTTCTATTTAGGAAAACATCAAATTGGCAAAGTCCGTGGTAATTCTGGATCTGACGCAAATTACCCGGAATTACCCCAAATATTAGAAGTTAGAAACAATTCCCCGAAAGTCACATTCTCCAATAGAAGTAATTCAACGTTGCTTGATGTCATAAATCTCCATCTCCAGTGTCTGGCCACGGGAAGAATGATCACCTAGCCAAAACAACTCTATCTATCTTCCTTCCTTCCCCCTTGGGAAGGTGGCAAGCCCGAAGCCCTTCGCCCATGACTGCCAAAGAGAAAATAAGAAAAATAATATATACTAAGCCTAACTAAAATGGCTACACGTATGTCCATCCTGAGCTTGACAGGGGATTCTAATGGTGCTCCCTCCAGACACAACCATTCAGCCCTTTTTTCGGACTCTCAAAACCATCTAAAAATCAAACAGATGTCCACTGACCACGGACAGTGGGAGGGGAAGGCTTGGGATTTAAACCCTGGGGCTGGGAATGATGGGGGCAAGGAAGGTATTTCCGTAGTTGATCTTCTTGCTGACTTTTCCCTAGTTCAATGGGTCTGAAGGAAACTGGTTTCAGAAGATCTCCTCTCGGTTCTGTAGCCGCCAATCCTTTGCATTAGAGCAGCTGAAGGCAAAGCAGAAGAAAGAAACTCGTTTCAACCAGTTCATCCAGGTAAGCTCTAGGAGTGGAGAGGAACCTGCTGTTCCTGGGACAGGACTAGGATGGGTGGACGGACGGACGGACGGAGGTGATAAGTAGGTAAGTAGGTAGATGATGGATGGATGCGTTGGGTAGGTAGATGATGGATAGATAAATAGAGAGGGAGGATGAGTAGATAGATTGGATAGATAGATAGGAAGTGTCATACCCCTGTCAGAGTCTGAATCCGAGGAGGAAGATGAACAGCTGACAGGGAGCGGGAGAGCGGCTTCGTTGGCTGTGGAGGAAACTGGGGAAGGGCAAAGCCCGGCTGGGCAGAGCAGGGGAGAGGGAGAACAAGGGAGAGGGAGTTCAGAGGAAGACCCAGGCCCATCCCCTCTTCATCCTAGGGCACGCAGGCAGGAACGGAGAAGGGAGCAACACAAGTTTATCTTGTGTTGACTTTGCTTATCTGTGTTCCTGGCATCCTCCCAACCATGTTGAGTTATTGCCATGCCTTCATGTCTGAAATTCTTGCTCCTGCCAGCTGGACTAATTACCTCATTTGGCCTCATTTTGGACATATAGTTACAGTTTTTGTTGACCATGTTTTGGACTTGATTCTCCGCAGCCAAAGGCTGTTCCTGGGAGAGTTTTTCTCCAGCCCAGAAGGTAACCAGGACATTGGGGGCAAAGTTGGAGCTAATAAAGGGACTCCTACTGATTATCTGACTGGGTTGCCTTTGTGCCACACCCCGGGTCAACACAATGGATGGTTTGGATAGACAGAAAGATAGATGATGGACGAATGGAGGATGGATTGATGGAGAGAGACGGAGAGAGGTTGGATAAAGTTGGATGGACGGTTTTGAGAGCATCTTCTTCATGGGAATGACCAGCTGTACAGATCTGAAAGGCAACCCCACCGAGGGCCTTTCCATAATACCTTTCCCAGGCACCTTTTCCCTGATTGGTGAATTGTTTCCTTTCTTTTTTTTTTCCCCCCATAGGAAGCAGAAAGCAAACCCCGATGCCGGCGATTGCAACTGAAGGACATCATTCCTATTGAGATGCAGAGGCTAACCAAGTATCCGTTGTTGCTCCACTCTATTGCCAAATGTACTGGTGAGCAGGGAGGAGACCACAGCACACCAGCCCCTCCCTCCCGGTTCTCCACCGTCTCTCAGAGTTTGTCCAAATCCATATTTGTTGCGTTGATAACACTATCTTAACTATCTCATCCTCTGCCGTCCCCTTCTATCTTTCCCGACATCTTTTCCAATTTCATGGAAAATAGACCTGTCTAAATTTCAAGGGGAAAGATCCGTGTTAAGGAACATATCTCCACAAAACTTTCATATTTTTTTTTCTTGTCCAGAGGAAGCTGAGGAGCGTCAGAAGGTGGAAAAGGCGGCCGAATGTTGTCGTCAGATCCTCAACCACGTCAACCAAGAAGTCCGCGTTATGGAGAATTTACTGGTAAGGATCCTTCCTTGAGCGATCATTTCTCCTTCGGAAAAAAAAAATCCTGCCCTTGTTCTTCACCACTTTAATGTTGGTTTTAAAACAACAGACATCGTGATGTTTTTTCAGAAACTCAAAGACTATCAGCGGCGTTTGGACCTCTCCAATCTTAAACAAAGCACAGATCCCCTGCTGAGTGAATTTCGGGTGAGTCCCAACGAAGTATTCGACCCATTGGGCCATGGGGACAGAGGAAGCCGTAACAGTGAATGAATTGTCCTTTTAAAACTCTATACAGACAGTCCTCGAATTAGGACCACAAATGAGCCTAGCAATAGCAGTCATAAAGCAGGTCATCATGAGACTGGACCTGATTTTAATGACCTTTTTTTAAAGGAGGAATTAAGAAAAAGGTTTGTTTGCTGTGGTCATTTTTCTTTTCTGGAAACCAGAAATAAACACCGATAGGAGGGGGAAAAAAGTAAACTGCAGCCATGTGTTCCTGTTGAATTTTGGCCTGCTATGCTGTGATTGGAAGTGTAAGATTCCTCAGGGGAAAATGCGAACATCTTGACTGTAGTGACTCCTTGGTGGAGGTATTTGTCAGAGATGGAAAAGTAAGGCTAACGCACAGAATCTAACCAGCTTTTTCCCACAGAACACAGATATCACCAAGCGAAACCTTGTGTACGAGGGACCCCTGACGTGGCGAGTTACCAAGGATAAATCAGTAGGTGAGTGGGACCATCTGGAGCTCCAGGAATAAGAGCATGGGGAAAATATGAAGTAAACATCAAACTAGGATTTAAGGGTTTGGGTACTGGGTCTGGGGTGTCCTGATGTTGGAGAGCAACATTCCATTTGGGAGGAGGCCTCAAGAAGGGAATTAGCCTGGCGTTGCTAAAAGGTAAACACAAGAAGGCAAGGTCTGACCATCTTCTTGGATGCCTCTGAGCCTTATCTAGTCTCCCACACAAAAGCTGCCAGGGTGGGGAGATTCTTGCACTATAGACAGGGAACAATAAAGTACATAGTTGGAACTCTACATGTGTTGGTTTGGTTGTTCGTGCCTGGCACCATATAGGAGATTAATATGGAGCAAAAGTCAAACAGAAGCAGACATGTTAACAAGTTCAGAGCAGAACAGTAACTCAGGTGCTCAGAAACAGACATCAGTTTCACTTTAGTTCAGCTGGACACACAGCAGAGGAGAGAAGCAGTTTCATTTTCAATAGACAGACTCGGAGCTTAACACAAACCATGCTGCAGCAATTAACCAGACAGGGCAGGATAAGGAATTGCAGACTTCCAAAAGATAATGAAACACACACAGTTGGGAGGATGCCAGAACCAGATAAGACTTGATAACAAAGTCTTTGATAATCTTTGATAACAAAGATAATTCATGCTTTGCTTCCAGCAAGGTTCTAGGCGCAAACACCTTCTTTATCCTGTTTTCCCAGCTGCAGCTAATGAAGGGAATCGGGGCCTTTTTCTCCCCCGTAACCCATGTTGCTCCCTTATCCATTCCTCCCTGCGTGCCCTAGGATGCAGAGGGGAAGGGCCTGGGTCTTCCTCTGAATGCCCAGCCAGACTGTGCCCTTCCCCAGTTTCCTCCCCAGCCACCGAAGCCACACTCCCACTCCCTGTCAGCTGTTCGACCTCCCCCTCGGAATCAGATTCCAACAGGGGCATGACAGAATGCTTGTAAGACAAGGATTACCTGTAGAGAGTAGATTACCTCACCTAAACCAACCTGCTCCCAAATTATAGAAATTGGAGCAAGTGCATCAGAGCAGCTAAGGAAGACCATCTCGGCAGAGCTGGGGGGTGAAGGGGGCTGACAGACCATCTCAGAAACCTATTTTAGGACTCCCCTCTCCTTCCCTCCTTTACCTTCACTTCCTCCTGAGCCACGGTGGCGCAGTGGTCGGAGTGCAGTACTGCAGGCTACTTCTGCTGACTGCCGGCTGCCTTCAATTTGACAGTTTAAATCTCCCCAGGCTCAAGGTTAACTTGGCCTTCCATCCTTCCGAGGTGCATAAAATGAGGACCCAAATTGTTAGGGGCAAGAGGCTGACGGTAAACCGCTTAGAGAGGGCTGTAAAGCCCTGTGAAGCGATATATATAAGTCCAAGGGCTATGGCTCGTGCTCCTCCCTAGCAGCTTTTGTTTTCATACTTCTCATGCCTCACGTTCTCCTTGATCCCTTCCAGATGTTCACGTCCTCTTGCTGGATGATATCTTGGTCCTTCTCCAGAAGCAGGAAGAGCGCCTGGTGCTCAAGTGTCACAGCCGCACAATCACCCCAACCCCTGACGGGAAACAAATGCTGTCCCCCATCATCAAGCTCAATTCTGCCATGACCCGTGAAGTGGCCACAGGTGGGTGCAGGAGATAGTCGTGGGAACTGGAAGCGGATGCAGAGGATTTCGGCCTTGGGTGCTATTTGTTGGTCTGGGCCTCTGCCCAAATTCTCATTCCGGGTTGGGTTTGGTCCAGCCTTGAAATATTAAGGTTGTTTTCTTGTCTTGTAGACATCAAAGCTTTCTACGTGATCTTCAGCTGGGAGAACGGAGCTCAGATCTATGAACTGGTGGCTCAGACAGTGTCGGAGAGAAAGAAGTAAGAAATCGGGGTGGGAAGGGGGACTTAACTTGCCCATCAAGCAACCAGATTACAGGTAGTCCTTGACTTACAACATTTAGCGACTGTCCGAAGTTACAACAGCACAGTGACTTACGACTGTTTTTCACACTTACGTTGCAGCTTCTCCATGGTCACTTAATCGAAGTTCAGATGCTTGGCAACTGATTCCTGTTCATGAGGGTTGTACTGTGCCAAGGTCATGCAATCTCCTTTTGTGACCTTCGGTCAAGCAGAGTCAAATGGGGAAGCCAGATTTGGTTGACAACCGTGTTATTAGCTTAACCACTGCAGCGGTTCACTCAGCAAGAAAGGTTTAGTTTAGTTTAGTTTATTGTCACTGCGCCTCGTACAACGAAATCAAACACCATCTTCAGTGCACATCGTGACCATGAAAACGAACACAAACACACATCCTTCACCCTCCACAGATTGAACTGAAAAACCCCCGACACCACACCAACACTGCACTATACAGTGGAATTCAATAGAGTTACTGCCCTGGGATAGAAGCTGTTTTTCAGCCTATTTGTCCTTGTTTTTATTATTGTCCTGTACCGTCTGCCAGATGGTAATAGTTCAAAAAAAAAAAAAGGGGTGCCCAGAATGAGATGGATCTTTGAGGATGTTTTGAACTTTCTTAAGGCAGCGGGAGCTATAAAGCTCTTCCAAAGAGGGGAGAGGGAAACCCATGATCCTCTGGGCAATGACGTTCACCCTCTGGAGTGCTGTCCTCTCTGCCCCTGTGCAGTTGTAAAAAGGGGCAAAATGCACTTAACAGATGTCTTGCTTAGCCACAGAAATTGTGGTCGTAAATCAAGGACTACCTACACTGACTGGAGTGGGAGATTAGTTTGGAAGAAGGAGCATCTCCTCTACTTGCTCCCTCCCCCTTAATTGGGGTGATTTATGCCTTTATTTAAAACACCCACTTAGTTGACCTGTGTTCACACGAAGTTGTGACGGAAAGATGATGCTGAGGTTGTGCCAAATCCCGTCACAACAGAAAAGCTTCGTTTGTGTTTGCTGGGAAATTCGGGGAGAAGTGGGAATTCACAGTCCCAAAATCTCTGGTGGGCACCAGGTTGGCGAAGATGGTGCCACTGATTCATTCTCTCTCTTCTTTTTTTTTTCATCCTAGCTGGTGCAACATAATTAGCGATACTGCTGGTTCACTGAAGCTACCCGCTTCCAATGCCAAACCTCGGCTTTCGGTAACAAACCGAATCTCACCACATAGTCCCAGCTAGTAAGTTATGTTATAATGAGAAAGGGGAGGAGGTGGGGGGGGGGGGGGAGGGGATAATGGGAGACTATAATCACCAACTTCTTTTAACGACCCCATAGTCCCTTGCGGGGTGGAGTCTGGGCAACTGAATGGAGCTGGCAGAGTGTTTACTGGCCGGATGCCCTTCCTGTGGCCAGTGAAGAGTCTTGTTCAGCAGATATATTCCCACGGTGCCCAGAGAGAGAAATATCTGCCTCTACTTAGGATCGCACACAGCCTCCTGATTGTGAGTCAAGAGCCTCCACCCCTAGGCCACCACACCACTCCTGTAATGGAGACTATAATGCAGAGATTGAAAGTTGTATTTGTGTCCTTTTCTTCAGATAAAAGAGATTTGCGTAGATCCGAGCCCTTTTCTAAACCCCCCATGAGGTCAAAAGCAGCGGAATAGAATTTTGCCATAAGGGATGCTGAAAGAATAATATATAAATTTGATCTGAGATTCCTAACCTGGGATCCACAAATAAAATCCCTTTGAGGAACCATAGATAGATTTCAAGAAGTCCACTGGCCAAGAAAAGGGAGCAGGAAACTCGTTCGGCAGATGGGAAGGCGGATGCTTGTAATCAGGTCAGGAAGCTAGGTGTGATGACCCAGGGCGTGGCACAGAGGCAACACAGTCAGATAATCAGTAGGAATCCCTTTATTATCTCCAACTTTGCCCCCAATATCCAGGTTAGCTTCTGGCTGGAGAAAAACTCTCCCAGGAACAGCCTTTTACTGAAGAAAATTAAGCCCAAAACAGGGTAAACACAGATTGTAACTTAAACTCCAAACAAGCCAAACTGAAGTAATCAGTTTGGCAGGGCAGGAGCAAGAATTTCAAACTTGAAAGCCTGGCAAAACTCACACAGTTGGGAAGACGCCAGGAACACAGATAAGCCACGACGATACAAGATAAATTCACATTTGCTCCCAACAGCCTGCTTCATGCAGCTTGCTTTTTTTTAATACACTGTGTTCCCAGCTGCAGCTAATGAAGGGAATCAGGGCCCTTTCCTCCCCCGTAAGCCACGCAACCCACGTTGCTCTCTCCTCCATTCCTGCGTTCCCTAGGACAGGGGTCCCCAACCGCCAGTCCGCGGACCGGTACCGGGCCGCGGAACAAGTCTTACCGGGCCGCTGGTTGCTGGGCGCCGCCATCTTTTTTTGGTAAAAAAGTGCTTCCGGTGAGCTTTTCCGGGTAGAAAGCTCATCGGAAGCACTTTTTCGTCAAAAAAAGATGGCGGCGCCAGTGCTTCCGGTGAGCTTTTCCGGGTAGAAAGCTCACCGGAAGCACTTTTTCGTCAAAAAAAGATGGCGGCGCCCAGTTGATGCTGGTACCGGGCCGCGGCGCCCAGCTGATACCGGTACCGGGCTGCGGCATCAAAAAGGTTGGGGATCCCTGCCCTAGGATGAAGAGGGGATGGGTCTGGGTCTTCCTCTGAACTCTCTCTCCCTTGTTCTACCTCTCCCCTGCTCTGCCCAGCCGGACTTGCCCTTCTCCAGTTTCCTCCACAGTCAATGGAGCCACATTCCCATTCCCTGTCGGCTGCTTGGCTTCCTCTTCAGAATCAGATTCCTACAGGGGCATGACTCTAGGCAGTATGTGACCAAGACTGACATCTCCCTTTTTTTTCTTGGCAGCTATTCAGAAACGCTCCTGGGTGGAGCAGAAAATGGCGGCCCCCTTAAGGAGGCACTGCAGTCAGAGGGTAAGGAGGAAGGTTGGAGGAGAAAAAGATGGGGCAGACAACTTGCATTCTTACCTCGTCAATGAAACCACTCTGTTGGGATTGTCATTTCAGAAAAATCAGTGTGGTATGATTAACACCAGGAGTGGCCAACTTTGGCCACTTTTAAGACTTGGTGGACTTTAACTCCCAGAATGCCTCAGACAGCCAAGCTGGCTGGGGAATTCTGGGAGTTGAAGTCCTCGAGTCTTAAAAGGAACCAAGGTTGGCCACCCCGATTTACACTTTCAGATTTAAATTTAGGGCAGGTAGATCTGAGCTAGATTTCCGAATCGATTCCAGAAAAGGTATGTTTGAGGAGGCCGCAGGAGCGTCTTGAGCCATCCTGATTGATTTGTAAACATCCAGTTTAATAATTTGAGTTTTCAGTTTGATCTGGAGGTTCATCCTTAGAACCAAATCTTTCAATGTTTCACAGACAGATCGTAGACATTGTTTACATGGCTTTTACTGCCCTCTGAGTTTTGGGGGAAGACAACAGTGGGGATCTGATTGTGTTTTGCTTTTGCTATCCCAACTCAGAACAAGAAAAAGATGGAATGCTAGAAGGTGGAGAGTTTGAGGAACGGAACCCTGTTGGTGGAGCAAAGATGGACAAAGTGGTGGAGGCCTTCATGACTGACCTACAGACGTTCTGCAGATCTCCACCTTCTGGCCAGGCCTCTCTAGCCTCTTCCGCACAGGACCGAGGTACTTGATAAACACCTTTCCCCTTCTCCTCCGTTGAGCAAGCCTGTTGCCCACAGGGATGTGAAGGGGACAATCTTGTCTCCTTCCAGTTTTGGCCCTGAAGAGGCTACTTCAGATACCGGACGAAGGAGAGGCCCTCTTTCCTGTAGAACCTACAGATCTTTCTCCAGAGAATGGAGGCCCCCAGGAGGGAGAAGAGGAATGGAATGGGACGTTCAGGGTTGAAGGAGATAACAGCAGGAGGCTTCCAGGTGAGTCCTTGACTTACAGGTTGGCCTTAAATTAAGCCCAATGTTTTCGTCGCTAATCGAGACAGTTGTTAAGTGAGTTTTGGTCCATTTTTGCGACCTTTCTTGCCACCGTTGTTAAGTGGCAGGAGAACTAGCTGTCAAGGCTGAACGTTTAAGAGCTGACCAGCTGATGCAATGAGGGGAATGAGTCTGCAGGGTCTTTGGCTACTATCCCTTTAAGAGCCAGTGTAATAGGAGGAGGCCCTACTGACGTGTTCATTGGTTTGAGTTTCTTGTTTGTTTAGATCAGGGGTCAGCAACCTTAAACACTCAAAGAGCCATAAAGGTCCTAACAGGAAGCCCCCCCATTCAATTCTGGAACCACATGGAAATCCGGTTTCCCCCCCACCATAGAGTCTCCTCCTAGAGTGGCGTCCTTTTTTTCTCTACCTATCCTAACCCAAAGCCCTATCAATTGTGGAGCCGACACGCGACAGGGAGCTACAGCAGAGGGGCGAAAGAGCCGCATGTGGCTCCTGAGCTTTAGATAGTGCTTGTAGCATGTGTATGTATAGTATTCCTCTATTCCTATTGTCGATAAAAACCACTATTTGATACAAACCACTGTTGGCTGTACTTGCTCCTGGACTGATAGTTGTGATAGACCTGTGCAAGCTCTGACACTAGCTATATTTATACCTGAAGTTAAATTAAAAAAAAGATACTAAGCAAATATCAACCATTATGCTGTAAAAGCATTTATCTCCACAGCAGGTTCTTTGAATGGCCCTCCAGATCCAGAGTGGAGTTCTGAACACCTGGATAAGGAAAGTCCCCGCTTCTCCATCGTTCTGTCCCTCCAGCAATCTGACGGAGTGAAGCATCACTTGAAGCTTCTAGAAGATGCAATTCAGGGTCTGAAGGTGAGCGTGGAACGCCCCCTAATCCCACCCCATCCCATCCCTTTCCCTGAGTCATCTCCTGTCCAAGATGGATGGTGGAACATTGTCCTTAAGGGGGTTTGGTTTTTTCCCCAGACATTAAAATGTTTGGCAAGTTCTCGGCAGAGACAGGAGAAGATGGAAGCAGGTGTGGGAATTTTACTTAAGGAAGGGCCTAGAGGGGGAGTGAGCGAGGGTTTTCTTCTTGCATTCCCCTCATTCATGGCTCTCTCTGAAGTTTGAAGCTTTTCGATGAAAAGGAAAAGCAAGACAATACTTCCCAAGACTGGAACTTCATTCAGACTGAGATGCATAATGTAGCAGAAGAGAAGGCAGGGCTGGGGGCAGAGTGAAGGGAGTCATCAGTCTAGAATCCTCCTTATGTTGTCACAAATGGTCCCAAGTCCAGCCCTTCTTGAATTCTCTTGACTCTTGTTTGGCCAATCAATTTATCTATCAGCTTAATACCGAACTTCAGTTGACTTAGATTCTTATGTATAGGCCTTAAAGCTTTGAACAGCAGCTTAATGCATGATCCTAATTCTTTGCACCTGATAGATGAGAGGCCATATTCCTTGCAAGTTTCACCAAGGGTGACTCTCTCTTGTCTGTCTTACCAGGATATAGAAACAGAATACTGGAGGCTTCAGCAGCTGATGGGGAAGTTGACATCATCTCAACAATCTGGTTCCACATGAGACTTGGCCAAGCAAGGTAGGCAGTGGACAACAGCAGGCAAGGGTTGAGATGCCAACCCCCATCCCATGGACCCACAACAATCAAGGATGATAGTTGAGGCTGACTGGCAGATGCTGGTCTATTTGTTTGGACGTTTGAAATGAAACACTTTTGCAGGGGAAAAGTAAAACAGGCCCCCAGTTTTAGTCCAGGGAAACTAGGGCCTTCTCTGTGAAAAGTCTTGGAATCCCTGCTTTGTGTGCTCTTGAGTTACGACCACAATTGGGACCAGAAGTTCAGCCACTTAGCAATGTATTCATTAAGCAAGTCATCCCCTGACCGGATCTGATTTTACGACAATTTTACTGCGGTCGATTAGAGAGTTGTTCTTGTGGTTAAGTGAAGCCGGTGGTTGTAGAGTGAATTCATTTTTAAGCTAATCTAGCTTCACGCACATACCCCTTTTTGACTTTGCTCATCAGGAACCAGCCGGGAAGGCCCCAAAATTGCAATCATGTGAGCCCAGGAGCCATTGTAAATGCAAGCCAGTTGCCAAGCAGTCAGTGACTGCCAGGGGTGGTGCGACAGTCATAACGTGGAGGGTGGGTTTTGCAGAAACGTCACTCCCCCCCCCCCCGTTCTCTTTTTCTAGGCTGATGACCGATCCCTTTATGGTTCTAGGCGATGATGGCTTTTGTATCTGAGTGGTTATTCTTTTTTTTTTTTTTTCCAGGCCTGTTGGAAGCAAATGAAGCAAGAAACTGTGTGGGCTAATCCATTTATCCTGCCAGGAGGTTCCTCTCCCAGCACGAGGCAACCCCACGGGGATCTAAGCTACTGCTTGATTTGTATAGGGAGCGATGCTGTGGATTTTGTACATAGAATTTTCTGCCTAAATCACGTTATAAGGGGAAATGTTTAGAGCAGGGGTATCCAATTTTCACAACTTTTAAGACCTTGGGGACTTCAACTCCCAGAATTCCCCAGCCGGCATGGCCGGCTGGGGAATTCTGGGAATTGAAGTCCACACACATCTTCAAGTTGCCAAGGTTGGACAACCCTGATTTAGAGGTCGAAGCATCTTATTTAGAAAAAGTCCTGCAAAACCTTTCAAGTGTGTGGAGAGGAAAATCTTACATTAGGTCGGAAAGACAGATGCTTTGGGATGGATCACCTTCCCTTTTTAAGCCAGGGAAATAGTTTACAGTGCTGATTCTCAGGGGTGACATATTACAAAACTGGGATCTGATGATCTTCTCTATCGGCCAAAATAGGTGGTTGGGCTAACCAAGAACTCAGGTGCCTGAGACCAGAGTCCATAATTCGATGGGCTGTTTCCTAAGAGGCTCTCAAGATACTTCAAAGAGGGTGTGTAAGTAGGAGGCGAGCGCAATTGTGCCTTCCCTCAAAAGTTCATCCTCAGCTCCCAGGAGTGTAACTCACCCATTAGTGTATTATCTTCTACACACACATATCACTGTTGTTGTTAGAAAATGCAATTGCAGCCAAGCTTCCGTAGGCAGGAGAAACAAACTCACTTCTAAAAGCTCTCCTGTTTATTTTCCTGGATTAATATTTTATCCTCACATAGATACACATAGGTAAACCCTGCAGACATACCTAGTTTTTTCCTACCAATCTTGGTCTGAATAACTATCTGAACTCATTTAATAAGGTCCCAAGTTTTCTGCCAGTTCTTCCTGCCCCATCATGCTTTTTCTCCAGCCTGCCAAACCAAACCCAGCTCAACCATCACCACCGGAAGGGTGAAATTCTTACAAAAATGGAATAAGATAGGTAAAAGTTCAGGTTGGTACTTTCTCCATGACACACCTTAAAAAAACAACAACTGTTACCTCCAGTCTTCCTGGCCTCCATATCTTGCAAAAAATGTTGGGTCTACATTGAATGACCCACCACACAAGCCATGTTAGCTGGGGACTACAGGAAATGGTCCTCTCAGCTTATCTTGAGGGGCCCCTCAGGTTAGGGAAGGCCGATTGCCAACGATGGACCTGCGGGCTGCAATTCTAAAGAACTTACAGTCCAAATATAAATGTTTTAAGATTGGGTGAAATGTTTCCATGGCTCTGGAGTTGAAAGGGGTGCCTTTCTGAGTTGCTTTAGATATCTCTGAGAACTTCTCCAGCGGGAGGAAGATTAGCAACAAGCACGCTTCCCAGAAAGACTACTTTGCTTCTTTGCTGCCAGCCTTCCCTTGGGTACAAATGGAGATAATTGAACCTTGAGTGCAATACATCCTGAATCTCTTGGTCTCAACGCAAGGGTTCCCATCACCTCAAGCTTTATTGTTGAGGAGCTGAGCAAGGAAAAAGGTCCCTCCCCTTTGAAAAGTTAGCCATTCCTGAAGCTTCCTTCCAATTTGACCTTTCCTGTTCATAGCCCCCTCCATCTTCCACCATCTTTTCATTAGAGAGGGAAAAAATAACCCGTCCCCCTCGCCTGCCCCTACTCGCCTGTGTCCATCACAAACCACGCACAAGCAGTCCATCTTTTGAACCCTCCCACAACGCAACGCACGGTGACCTCCCTGCTTTCGACCATCTGCTGTTCTGCGCTCTGCTCAGCAGGTGGTGCCCTAGCTATGTGTCTGTGTAGGTATGTGTGCAGTGCACACCTACACACGTTTGCGTGCATAACAGGTGCTACTTCTTTGGGTTTTCCGTGGGTTGAGACAATTCATCGTTCAAACCCCGGAGGGGTTTCTCAACCTCTTCGCTCCATCCCTCTGCAGCGGTTGCATAAGTGTGTAAACTCGTTGGGTAGAGTTGGTCCCAGGGAACAAGAGTGTTTTAAAAGGTCAGGGAAGATTTGGCTGTGTTGAGATCCACGCAGCAGCCAAACCTTCCTTTCACTTTTCTTGCTTCCTCATTAGGGAAAAAGAAGCATTTCTGCACAGAATGGAAAATGATGAGTTAATTGGGGGGGGGGGGGTACAGGGAAGTTTCTGAGAAAGAAGCTGAATCCATCCAAGAGGAGAGAAAAAAAAAGTTTTTATATAGGGAGGAGAAAAGTGATGGGGCCTAACCCACAGAGGGAATATAGAACAGGGGGAAGAGGTGAGAGCCCAATCCACCAACATCTTCAGAGACAGGCCTTCATCTAATTGCTTCCAAGTGTTTTTATACTGTCTTGATAATGTGCTTGTATTTTAAGAAAAACTTGTTTCTTTTTTGGGGAACTGGGAAACAGTTCCAATGTTAAGGGAATGATGGGGGAATCCAGGGCTGTTTTAATGTAGAGTGAGATCATGTTTAGTTGTGTCTATTTTTTTTTTAAATCCATTGCTGTACAAAGCGTGTAAACCGATATATTCCATGAATTTTTTTCTCTTTGACCTCCCAGTATTATGAAGTATAAAGTTTTAAAAGGGATGGAGAAAAGGATGTTGGTCTGAAGACCTGTTTTCACAGCTGATGTCTTTTGCAGTGTTAAGAAATATTCTCAAGATCGCCCCGTAGAAATTCCCTCCCCTACAGATATTTCAGTTCCATTTCTGGCTTTCCTCTCTTGTTTTGGGGCAGAAATGAAAGAATACATTTTTCTTTTGCATTTCTATAATCAGGCCATGCCCTGCTCTGTGTTTCTTGCATAGTTGTACCATGTGTAAAATGTGATGATGACTGTATATTTTATGCCTCAAAACAGACATGAAAAGCCATTTCCTAGTTTTGATGAAAGTGGAGAAAAATGTTGGCGCACGTTCAGGATTCCTGGCAGAACACTTTTGGTGCATAACTCTGTTTTTTTTATCTGCTTGCTTGTGACTGGGTCATAGTCCCCGATTCCAAACTCTTGGGAATTGAGAAGCTTAACCAGTGATGTGAAATCCTCCATTTGCCAAATTCAGTATTCTTAACCAGAGTTCATAATCCAGTGGTTTGGGGATAAATATCCATTATATTAATGAAGATCCTTATTATAGGGATGGGCTATTTTGCGGTCTTTATCTGTAGATGATTTTACTTGCTACACCGTACATTAGGTCATAACTTCCTGAGAATCTGGGTGCTGGTATAGTTTAACCAGCTTCAACAATTTGCTCTGGCTTTATTTTGCTCTTATCATTCACCCGCCCCAAAATAGCAGGAATTTTAAAATTGTAAATACCATTTGGGACCAAAATATTTAAGGCTGCCACTCTTTTTCCAAGCTGAGCCAGACAGCTTAAAGATTCTTAAATATTTATTTGTACTGTTCTCTCAATTCTATACCCGTCTCTTGTCTATTTGTGTTTGAAATTTTCTGACCTGGGAAACACATCTGTAAATGGATGTGCAATTTTTGTTCTTCAAACCCATCCTGGACAAGCGGCACAAAGTTCACCTTAGTCCTACCTTTTCTTGGGAGTTTCATGGTCAATGGTCTTGAGAATGTTTTCATAATGGCGACATGGTAGGTCAGTTAGTTGAATGTTTGATTGTGGATATCAGTTCGCATGTAACGCAGAAGGTAGGCTGGCTTTACGGAGCAGTTTTTGATAAGAAAGCATCATGGGAATGATGGTAGAAAGGAGGAAGGCCTCTTGAGAACGAAGCCCAACAAGGTTGTTTAATGATGGGATGAAAAGGCAGGGTTAGGGTATTATGGGATCTTGCAATGTTTCCTACCCTTCCTTAGGAGCATAGGGGTTGAGATTCCTGTTTTGCATGCATCCCATCATTTTTATTAGCTTCCTTGGTCTAATCCTGTCTACATCTGCTGGACTACAACTCCCAGAATTCCTTCTAGCAAAATGTATAGGAATTCTGGAGGGATCTAAGGTAGAAAAGATTTGAAAATTACGTAAGTTGCAAAAGGGGTAAAGACAGATGAGTAAACCAAAGACAATCTTGTAAAAAAATATAAATAATATTCATATATATAAATATATATATATATATGAATATAATAAAAAATAAACCTTATCTTTCCATTTCCTTTGTCCTGCTCGTGTATTTGGTTATTTCTTTCTTGGTTTTGGGTTCTCCTGAGCTGTGATAGTAGGGTTGACACAAATCTTCACCCTTGTGTTCTCCGGCCTGAAAACAGCACAATTTTCCCCCAAACCCTTGTAGGGTGTTCTGCCTCTTAATAGGTTTGAGTGGGAGAGTTCATGGGTAGGAGTCTCTGTTGATATATGGATTTAAACCAGGGGTGTCCAACCTTGGCAACTTTAAGACTTGTGGACTTCAACTCCCAGAATTCCTCAGGCTGAGGAATTCTGGGAGTTGAAGTCCACAAGTCTTAAAGTTGCCAAGGTTGGACACCCCTGATTTAAACCAATATCTCGCCTTGCTGTAATGGCTCTCCAGGAAGATGAGGGGAAAGGAAAAAGACCTAACTGGGTATTTAAACCATGTCTAATCTTTCTTGGAACTGAATGTCTGGTAGTGTAGAGGAGGAAGAAGGGAAAGGAGAAGAAGAGGGAGGAGGAGGAGGAGGAAGAAGCAGCAGAAGAAAGAAGATGGAGAAAGGAAAGGAGAAGAAAAGGAGGAGGAGGAAGAAGAGGAAGCAGCAGCAGCAGAAAGTCGAAGAAGAGGAAGAAAAAGAGAAGGAGGAGGAGGAGGAAAAAAGAAAACCAGCCTCTGCTTCTGGTCCTTAATAAACTTTTCGACAACTCCTGTAACTACATTTCCCAGGATTCTTCGGGTAAAATGAAACTATCCAAGCAGCTTCAAGTTCTATTCCAGAAGAACAAGATGCAGCTAGAATCGCTCTCATCCTTTGGTGAGGTTAAGATTCCTTCCATTACCCTCATAAGGTTAAATTTTAATTATTATTCTGGTAATTAGCAGCTCAACCCAAGGACAATTGCAATGCCAAAATTCTGGGATTGTTTGTGTGTTTGTGTGTGTCTTTCGAATGGTCTTGCTGCCCTATACCTGTGGAAAAATAAGTGCCATTGAATTGAATGAGACTTCTCCCTCCCTCCCTCTCCCTCCTTACCTCCCTCTCTCTCTCACACACACACACACACAGACTACACCCCTACCCTGCCTTTACTGCCTTTCACCTGTGAGTAGAGATGCAGCGAATAGATATTTTATTGCTTTTGAGGCCAGCGGGAGCAGCTGGTGTAAAATTTTCCATCTCTCTTTTTCTTTTTTTTATACACTCCATAAATTAATGCAATATTTACAAGAAGAAGAAGAAGAAGAAGGAAAAAAAAAAGAGGAATGGGACTTTTTAACAACTTCTTCATATCCACCACACAAAGTACAGATTTGTTTCTCTTGTTTAAAACACGGAGTCACAAGCACAGCGATGGGGGTGAAAGTGGTGTTGGCTCGCTTTGGAGAAAGCGGGGTGTGTGGGGGGCGCGAGTATGTTTACAGAAAGGTCACACCAGAATAGACAAGACGATATTGCACTCCAAAAAGTTCAGGATGGGAGCGTGGAATAAAGCAAATTGACTGGCGCCTTCTCTTCCCCAAGTTCCAGCCGCCTAATTTTGAAGTGCAGCTGGATTAACCAGCTGTTCCTAGCCATTAACCAAGCCGATATGCTTCGTTGGGGCCATTCCATAACATCTCCAGATGTTAACCCTTAAAGAGGTACGCTTCCTACTCAGTTGCGCTCCGAAAAAATGTCAAATGTAAAGAACAATTATACCCAGCAACAGTCGGTCTTTGGCTGCCCACAGAGATAATCCTCGACTTACAACCATTCTTTTAGTGACTGTTGGAAGTTGCCACAGCACTGCAAAAAACATGATTTATGATGATCGGTCCTTTTGCATCTTTGCAGCATCCCCGTGATTAAAATTTGGGCAGTTGGCAATCAACATGTATTTAGGATAGCTATAGCATATCTGGGGTCATGTCATCGCCATTTGCAACATTTCCAGCTGACCTCTGACCAGGAAAGTCACTAAATTCACTTAATGACTGCATGATTCACCTAACCAATGATTCACTTAACAACGTTGGCAAAAAAAAAAAGTAACATGGGGATTAGTTGGAGAAAGGTCACTTAACTGCCTTTGCTTAGCAACAGAAATTCCCAATTGTAAGTCGAGGACTACCTGAATCTGAATCCTGATTTATAAACCTCAATATGTGTTCTAGCTCAGGGGTCACCAACCTTTTGGACCTCAGGGACCACCAAACTCACAGACCAGAGACCCTGGGAAAATCCCACAAAAAGTCTGCAGGAAAATTCCCCACCCCGTTTTCCTACCGATCGATTATTCTTTATTGGGGATGGCAAGATACCATCTCCAGCTTTGTTCTGGGGGGGGGGGGGGAGAGACTTTTGGCTTCATGCAAGGAAAGCAGCAGAAGCAGCAGAAGTCTTTCTTTCTCTCCCCCAAACTCCACCAGAAATGAGTCTTTGTGAGACTTGCCGGCACAGCCTTTTGGAGCAAGGATGCCTTGCAGGGTCCCAAAGACTCATTTCTGGCGGGGTTTGGGGGAGAGAAAGAAAGACTTTTGCTGCTTTCCTTGCGTGCAGCCAAAAGCAGAAGAAGAAAGAAGCGGAAAGAAGCAGCCCTGTGGCCAGGCGAGGTGTGTAGGGCAAGTGGGGCAAGTTCCTCCCCTCCACCCTTTCCCCCCTCCCCTCACTACCTCGTGTTTTTTTGCAATGCAAGCGACGCAAGCCTTGTGTTTCCATGGGCCTTGTGTTCCCAGGCAGCCTGGATTAATTGCTTTGGGAGTAACTTTTCTCTGCAGGCCACCAAAATTTTCTGGCAGACCACCAGTGGTCCCCAGCCCACTGATTGGCGACACCTGTTCTAGCTAACCCTTTGAATGACAGGAGTACAAATTTCCAAAACAGGGCAGCCTTTAAGTTTCAGCTGGGACCAAAGGAACAGCTACCTTTCTTAAATTACGCCTAAGGACACCTGCAAGGGAGGAAAACAGAATTCAGCCACTCCAGATTTGCCAGCAAATTCTCCTGCATTCTGTTCAAACAACTGCCTGGGAGAGATTTCAGTGAATTCAGTAGGAGGAGGGCTGTGTTATGTCTACGAGGGCTAAAAGGCATAACCTTTTAATAAACATGATTAGTTAGAGCAGGGGTGTCCAACCTTGGCAACTTTAAGCCTGGAGGACTTCAACTCCCAGAATTTCTGGGAGCTGGCTGGGGAATTCTGGGAGT